CCCAGATCTAGTGCAGCTGGTCATTGGGAGTGGTAGTCGACCTTACGAGGGCTATTGAGTATCGATAGAAGATCATCCACTCTCAACGTCATGAGAGGAATATCTCATGTTTTATTGCTAAGAAAAATCCCTAGCCAAGGTCATTCGGGTTGAGAGAGAAAGAGTTCTCCGAAAGAATCCATTAGAGCGAGACTCGAGTAGAAACCGTATGGGTCTGACAGCACCATGTTCGATATACGATCTCAGGGATATTAGATGGATGATGGACTATAGGTACACGGTAATTGAGGACAGACAGGTCCAATGGATTGGATTCCCCTGTATCGTCTGGGGACTACGACGTAGTGGCCTAGTACATCCGTAGTCGATAAGTCAAGTGAATTATTACAGAGATAATAATTCACTGAGTTAGAAGGAGTTCTGACAGGTATGACTCACGGCCAGCTCGATATTGAGCCTAGAGGGTTACACACATATGGTAGGCATTGCGATGAGTAGAGGTTCCGATATGAAATATTCGACGGAGCCCTTATCTTATTGGATGCAGATCTAATACCCACTAGGGGTAGATAGGCTTTATCACCGGGGGGTTACTACTCCCACCGATCAGTCCATACCGCAGCCCTGTCGTTCATCACCGAGGAAGGGTGACGTTGGCTTCTCTCCACCGACGTCAATGTATTGGTGGCAACTAGTTGATTGGTCAAGGTTGATGTCATCATATTCTCTCTATCAAGTAATACTCAAGAGAGTTAATGAGCTTATTCTTATTGAACAAAGATCCTGAACATGTGTGGTTAGCATATCACTAATCATCAGTAAACTTTCAAGCTCGAACTCCTTGGAGGAAGCCAAATTTGTGGAATTATGATCCATGGAAATTGATTGTAGAGCATTAAAAGTGAGCAACCATACAATTGTTTCATCAAACATGCTTCGACCCAAATCCCAAATTTATAGTATATTATGAGGAGAGATGCACGAGTTCTTTGAGATAAAAATAGTAGCCTTCTTGAAATTGAAATATCTCATATGGTGCCAATAATAAAAAAAGAGAGTTCGATATATCATTCATTTGTTCGATAAGATTTGTTATTTTTCATATTTTTCTAATTGGTGACATTTATACTTTTTAGCAAATTTTTAATCATAAGAATACTACGAGTTTTAATTTTCTATTGTTAATTAGAAGGGCTTATGATAGATTAACAATGTTTTTTATGACAATTTATATAAATAGTTTTTAAAATCAAACTTGGATTGAAGCTGACTTGACATGTTCCTTATACATTATAAACTTTCAATGATACATTATAAACTTTTAATGAGATAGACCCTAAGATAAAAGTGGAAGTTCGATGAGTTGGAGGTGAATATTGGGTGTGGTTATACAAATTATAACATAAAAAAATTGAAATTTAGTCATATCTCTCGATACAGAACTTGCTATAGGCTCTAATAAAGATTAAAATTAGCTTCGAATCTCATTAGAATCTTCAATATATCGTAATTTAGCTTAACCTTCCACAATGAGAATATGACATTGATGACATATAATTGCTATAACTCATAATAATACTCAAATTTAATGAGATATTATTATACTTATTAGATTTATTGGCTTAGTTTTAAGATTCATGGCCATGTAAAAAAAATACTTTTCAAAAATGTTAAAATTTAATTATGTAAAATTATTTTAATTTTTTTTTTAATTCTTACAAATTAATAAGTTAAGTAGGAGAATGTTAAATTATGTAATCCTATTTAATTAGGTAAGATAGATTATAGATCTAATTAGATTCTGATTATAATTATCAACCAATAAAATAAATTTTTTTATTTATAAATAGATATGACCCTCTAATGAACTATACATGATATAAGATCTATTCTTAATTTTCTTTAGTCTATATTTCATCGCTTATATTAGTCTTGTGAAGAATAAAAAAAGAAAAAAAAAATCTATTTCATCCTATGCTATTACTGCCTCTTCATTTGATTATAGAGCACATTGATAAAATTTTGTAGAACAACATAAATTGATACACAATTTTGATCTTAATTTATTATTTTTAATTTTAATTTTGATATTAAACTTTTCTATATAAAAATAACATAATTACAGTTTTCATATTTATAAAAATGATCTATAATCATGTAATGTATTCAGTGTCATCTAAAAGTTTAACTGCATAAACAAAGCATTACTAGTAGTAAACACCCATGTAGAATTGAATATTTGGCGACAGTAAATCTAATCTCCTTCACTCTACCTGCCCTAGTTCCAGGTTTTTGATGTAGCATGCACTGCAATCACCATTTACGAGCTGGTTAAGCTCCACACTTAATTGCCATTGACTTGTATCCCTTCAAATCGAAGTCTGCAACAGGAGACGAATCCAGCGGACCAACCAGGTTTCTTGGGGTCACCGAAGCGTCATCAGAACGAGTCCCCGCTTCACTTTGACGAAGCAGAAGAGTCGCCCAACGCATGGGTTTGAAGGCCAACCCACTGCCTCTTGGAAACAGACGTGAAAGGACCGAGGAAGTATATGCTAGCAAGCAGGTTGCCGGTCATGGCGGTTGTTCTCATCCACCGAAATTATTGACAACTGAGACCCAAGATTGGGCTTTGACTCCTCGCCGTCGACTCTGCACTACATGTTTGACTTGTTCATCCCTTCGACCAATCAAAGAAGTATGTGAATCACGAGAGGTTCATCTTCATTTACTGCATTGAAACCTCAATAAAAGATGAGCAATCCTATACTGTAGCAATAGTCACTTCATGTATTACGTCGTCCCCAAGTACTGGTGAGATATATTTACAGTTGGCCTGCAAAATGACTTCGTGACGAAGATTTGCTTCCTTTGGATTCTATTGGATTCCAGAGTTCTCTTGGATCTTTCAAGAGAAATGTATTGAATGTATGCCTTGAACTTGTCGAAGGCAAAACGAATCTTCACTAAATTCCAGATCCCATCCACCAATTTATTAGTGAAGCGTCTTCTTTAAAGAAGGAAAAGGATTCGATCTACGTTTCCCCACTCACCTTGGAAGTCACTGAGGTTTCCAGAGCCAGACAACAAGCAAATCCCCACCTGTCTCTCTCACACAAACTGAAATTGAATGACATCCATCTGCTTCTCTTTAACCTTTCAGAACAGCGGAAGGAGATCCCGGAACAAAAAGTCAACACCCACCGCACAGCTCCCCTTGTTCAGTTCTCCACTTGCTTCGTTGTTGTTCCTGTCATGCGCAAAGACTTGTTTGTTTCGTGAGCCTTTGTGGAAATCTCGGCAGCTTTAAGGCCTGCTACTGGTGCAGCTTCTACTCTTGTGGAGCAAGGAGGCTGCGAAGGCTACTCTTGCTGGTTCCTGATTGATTTCGGGAAACCAGGTAAGATTTGAAGAGAGGAGAGAAGAAATGGAGGATTCGGGCAAGCCTTCGCTCCATGTTGAGTCCTCAGCCGCGGAGGGCAGCCACTTCAAGCTGCCGGTGGACTCGGAGCAGAAGGCCACGGAGTTCTGGCTCTTCTCCTTCGCGAAACCTCACATGCGGGCCTTCCACCTCTCATGGTTCTCCTTCTTCTGTTGCTTCGTCTCCACCTTTGCAGCTCCGCCCCTCCTCCCGTTAATACGGGACAACCTCAACCTCACCACCACCGACATCGGCAACGCCGGCATAGCCTCCGTGTCCGGAGCGGTCTTTGCCCGACTCGCCATGGGCACCGCCTGTGACCTCATCGGCCCCCGCCTCGCCTCCGCCTCCCTCACCCTCCTCACCGCCCCCGCCGTCTATTTCACCTCCGTCATCAACTCCGCCTCCTCGTACCTCCTCGTCCGGTTCTTCACCGGCTTCTCCCTCGCCTCCTTCGTCTCCACCCAGTTCTGGATGAGCTCCATGTTCTCTCCTCCCGTGGTGGGCGTCGCCAACGGGATCGCCGGCGGCTGGGGGAACCTCGGCGGAGGCGCCACCCAGCTCATCATGCCCCTCGTCTACGACCTCATCCACCACATCGGCAGCACAAATTTCACCGCTTGGCGCATCGCCTTCTTCATTCCCGGCTTCATGCAGACGATCTCGGCGATCGCAGTCATAGCCTTGGGCCAAGATTTGCCTAACGGCAACTACCGGAAGCTGGAGAAGGCCGGGGACAAGCACAAGGACAGCTTCCGCAAGGTGTTCTACCATGCCGTCACCAACTACAGGGGGTGGATCTTGGCGTTGACCTACGGCTACTGCTTCGGGGTGGAGTTGACCATCGACAACATCGTCGCGGAGTACTTCTACGACAAGTTCAACGTCAACCTCCGCACCGCAGGGATAATCGCCGCGAGCTTTGGGCTGGCAAACATCATCTCGCGGCCGGGCGGAGGCTTGCTCTCAGATTGGATGTCGAGGAGATACGGGATGCGAGGGAGACTGTGGGGCTTGTGGGTGGTGCAGATCGTGGGAGGAGTCTTGTGCATCGTTCTGGGGCGAATGAATAACCTCAGCGCGTCCATCATCGTCATGGTCTTGTTCTCCTTCTTCGTGCAGGCTGCGTGTGGGCTTACCTTCGGCGTCGTCCCTTTCGTCTCCAGAAGGTACATACTTCTCCATGGTTGATCCATGAACGTCACAGAAACTGACGACTCCATACAATCTGCAAGCAGGACAACACAAAAAGCCATCTTCCCTTCAAGTTCTTCTTTCATCAAACACCTGGTGTTCTGCAGGTCTCTGGGAATGATATCAGGGATGACCGGCGGGGGAGGCAACGTGGGCGCCGTCATCACGCAGCTCATATTCTTCAAGGGAAGCAAGTACTCCAAGGAAACAGGGATCACTCTCATGGGCGTCATGATCCTCTGCTGCACGCTCCCCATCACACTCATCTACTTCCCGCAGTGGGGCGGATTGTTCTGCGGCCCAAGGCCGAAGGCCACCGCAGAAGATTACTACGCAGCAGAATGGAGTGAGGACGAGAAGGAAAGAGGGTACCACTCGGCAAGCGTCAAGTTTGCAGAGAATAGCGTGAGGGAAGGAGGCCGAAGACGCGATTCTTCGCCCGCTGTTCCTGCAGACGACACGCCTTCACATGCTTGACCATGCAATCACTCTGGGAGCAGCCTACTGGACTTTGCTTCGAGATGATGTCCATAGATGTGATCTTGGTAGTGGTCGAAACCAGCATCCATAGATTACCAGATGTTATCTTGTTTTCCTCAGTCACAACAAAGCAATGAGTAAAGCTATATTTCAACATTAACTCTACCGAGCAACACACGTCAAGAACGAAAACAATGGACACTAAAAAGCTCGAATTCGCACAAAAAATGGCCAATTCAAGACGATATAAAACGTCAACACTATTCAACGCTCCTTTCACGACGCTCATACTCCACGTATAGATTCTACCGGGTGACCGAGCGACAACAAGTCCACGCCAAGAACCGCTTCTGCTTCCATTTTGCTCCGGTCATTACGGCTGATGAAATCGAGGAGTGTTCGGGAGATGTGTGAGGAGTGAAGCCGGATCGAAGGGAGGGTCCGAGGAAGGGGAAGAGACGAACGTCGGACCCAAACGCATTTTACAGAGCAATTTTTAACAGCTAAATCTATTCTTGAGTTCCGGACACGTATCGAGCGGACTGTCCTCATCTTGACCGTCCATCACACGGAAGATGATCATGATCTGATGAGCCTTCCCTTCGCTAGGGTTTCCTTTTACCGCCTCACTCGGATATATATTCCCTCCGATACTCCGCCGGCTGGTATTAGGGTTTGGATCTCTCTTGCTTTCGCAATGGCGCCGCCGAAGAAAGCGAGGATGGCGAGCCGGAACCCTAGCCTGATCCGAGGCATCGGCAAGTTCTCGAGGTCGAAGATGTACCACAAGCGAGGGATCTGGGCCATCAAGGCCAAGCATTGCGGTTCCTTCCCCCACCACGACCTGAAGCCTGCGCCGACAACGCCGGCAGCCGTGAAGCCCCCCAAGTTTTACCCCGCCGACGACGTCAAGACTCCCATCCCCAATCACCGCAAGGCCAAGCCCACCAAACTCAGGTACGTGGTGGGGTTGTCCTGCGTCTATTGCTGTTTTCATGTGGTGCTCAGTTCGGTGTTTGTGATGCGTTCCTTTTGTGTGATTTAGGGCGAGCATCACTCCCGGGACTGTTCTGATCCTTCTCGCGGGGAGGTTCATGGGGAAGAGGGTTGTCTTCCTCAAGCAGCTGCCTTCCGGACTTCTGCTCGTTACTGGTGAGTGCCTCCGGATCCGTTCGCATTAGATCGGAATGTGTTCATATTATTGTTTTGCTCCTTTATTCGCTATCTTCTTTTTTACCATAAGTTATTCTTAGCATCCTTTTGAACATCTATACTGCAAGTTTTGCTTGGCAAATCAACTCATTAAACCAATGACGGTTGAATGGTTCATTCGTTCATATGAATTTTTGACCTTTTTGAGACGGCTTTTGTTTTTTTGATGAGCGCATGCTATTATAGATTTGGGGATAATGTGACAAAGAGACGTTTTTCCTGAAGCATTTTACTTGTGATCGCTATCTCATATAGAGTTATTAGCTGGAACAACAGTATTTATGGAAGGAACAGGTCTCCAGGATCATTCTAAATGGTGTTAGTATTGGCAATTTAAGGTACCTATTTATTCTCTCGCTGCACTAAAAAGAAAAAGCTATGTACTTCCAGCCTTGATTCTTCAATAATTGGCCGCATTTGGTTGGATTTCAGCTATTCAACTAAATGGGTGCTAATGACATTTTTGTAGTTAATTATGATAGGAAGGTGAACTGATTTCGTATGTCTTTCCCCAAATGCACTATCTCCTCCACTGCTGTTTTGGCTAGAGTCTGCTGATGACAACAAAAACCCTTTTCTCTTTTTGGAGAAAAAGGTAAGGGTGGAGAAGATGAAGAGGAGTATGGTTGAGCGATAGTAATAGGAGTGGCTGGTTGAATGTTGATGTCGGGCTGCTGCATATGCCAGCTTAGTGATGTTGTCCACCACTATAGCTTCAATCAGAGGTGCTACAGCTGTATTGAGAGTTGGGGCTGTGCAGCACCAGCAATGACTATGAGAGAGGGCAATTGAGGTGAAGAAATGAGAGAAAGAAGAAAAAGAAAGAAAAGGTTAACAGGAGAAAAGATGATGATGGTAGTCTGCCAGTTTGTTTTAGTCTTTTAACTGATTGCAGCCTCTGGGCATATCAAATTTCTGCGATGCCCAAGCCCTACCATGTTTACATTTATGGATCACAATCCAGCTTCAAGATAACCTATATTATCTTCCATCCATCTCAAAATTAGAGAAGACATGGTTATAGAATTTAGTATCCAATTTTGTCCTTCCAATTTCATGTGTTGTTTAAAAGTCAATACTGGTTTGTTTTGTTTTGTGCCCCTGGTTCAGAGCACCAACGAGATATCAAGTTTGTCTTAACATTTACTTGATCCAATTTCTTATGAATCACAGTTCCTTAATATCAAGTTGGGTGCCTTGCACTAAATAGCTGCTTTCTTGTTGTCATATCAAAGATCACAAACACACACACACACTTTTTCTCTCTTTCTGTCTATCTGTCTTGATATCAGAAAAAATAATTGATGCATCAGTTGGACACTTGTTTAAAGAAATCATAAGAGAGAGACATTGACATCATAGGAGAGCTGGTGCAAAAATGATTTTGACTATGAATCGAAATTATTTTTTGCTTGTTTTTGGTTCAATATCGTGTAATGCATTAGAATGCAGCTTTTGAGGCTTAGCAGCCCAGGACAAAAGCATTAATTAGTGTACAGTGAGCTTGTTGCAATAGTATTTGACTCATTGCGTTGTATAATAAGATTTTTTGTTATAGCTATTGCTGTTTAATTGCTTTTCTGACCAGAACTACCTTTGAGTTAGTGTGGCATTATGGATCTGTTGTTCCTGGTTTTGCATCTCATTTAGTCGGGGATCTGTATAGGGCCCTTCAAGATAAATGGAGTGCCTCTGAGGCGAGTAAATCAAGCTTATGTCATCGGAACGTCCACTAAAGTTGATATATCACAAGTCAATACTGACAAGTTTGATGATAAGTACTTCACCAAGGAGAAAAAGAAGACGGCAAAGAAGAGCGAAGGTGAATTTTTCGAGAGTGAGAAAGAGGTTTGTCTTTGTCCATATCAGTATGTTGATCAATTACAAGTGTTCTATAAGTTCATTGCCTTATTCTTGCCCCTCTTATTCCCTTGAAAAATATAGGAAACAAAGGGACTCCCTCAGGAGAAGAAGGATGACCAAAAGTCTGTGGACACCCCATTGATAAAAGCCATCGAAGCAGTCGAAGACTTGAAGACCTACTTAGGTGCAAGGTTTTCGCTTAGGTCAGGGATGAAACCCCATGAGCTCGTATTCTAGAATGAAGAATTTATTTCAGCTTAGTTACAATTTTATTTTGGTTTTTGCTGGTTTGCCCGGAGCTTAGACTGTCACGAGGATCCTGAATTTTGTTGCATGCTTTTCTATTCAACTGGAGAATTCTTCTCAGCTATAAATGTTTCAGTTGGAAATTTACCACTAAGTGAATCTATAGTTTTCAGAGATTTGCATTGGCTTTTAATGTAACCTTTCCTTGGATCCTGCATTCCTTCAACGCGATGGCCTTTTGTTTGTGTTTCAAAGATCCAAATCCAATATAATGCTAGTTTCTGTGATTTGATATGGTTCGGTATTCCTTGATCATCCAAATTGGAAAACATTGTAATGTGTTTCATCAATTTGTTATATGGGTTTCTCTGGAGAGTGACTGGTACTTGTGAACGAGGAGAACCTTTCATTAGATTTGTTACTTTGTTACATGTACACTCATACAAAAGATGCTAATTCTATTAGAAATGTCAATGTCAGTCTCACGAAAAAGAGATAAAATACTAGATGTTTTTTTTTATTAAACTCAATATTGAACTTTTATCGAATGATTTTTTATTTAAGGATGTTTATTTTTCATTGTTGATCATCATTGCCTCATTGCCTCTCACTACCATAGTTGTGTCGTCGTTGCCATCCCCCTTGTTCCCACTACAAAGGAGTGGGACCCATGGCTCCTCAATCTTCGAGGGTGTGTTAGAGGGCGATGTGAACAAGGAGCTCCTCATCTTTGTGAGGAAGGGGGAGACCGACGATCGATTGCCTTATTGAGGGAGGGGGATATGGCATAGCCACGTTATATGGAGGTGGCGAGGAGAGGGAAGGGAGGGGAGGAGGCTCTGATTGACAAAGAACCCAACAGTGAGAAGATTTCCGCTGTGTATGAAGCTTTTATTTGGATACAGGAGGAGCTGCACCCGCTTCTACTTTTTGCATCTTGAATAGTTGTGGGTCCGCTTCCATCATTATTAGCAGGGTTGCCTATGGTTTCTTTTAGTAGCGACTCCGTATCCATGTCTCAGACTGCTCACACAATATTCTAATCATCGAGGTGTCTCATCAGATGGATTCTAGTCCTGGAAACACTCAACTGCCAAATAATTCTCGAGTTCCAGCAAAATCGATTACAAGATGGGAGAGTAATCTGGAACTCCTGCATCTGACCTATACATCAGCTGATAGTTTCATCGACTGATCCACACAATAATCACCATGCAAACACCAAACATAATTTTGGTAGATCGAGTTAAATGCAAGCGTCAGTGGAGAAGGAAAGTTGAAACACATGAATGACTCGAGCAAAGAAAAAGTCTTCTCAGTCAAGCTTCTTTGAATGCAGCAGATCCTACTTGACACTACATGCACCAGTTTCAATACTGCCTGAGCACTCATGCACTCGGTAATATTCTCTCAAAGAATGTTGAGTTGATTCCCCAAACTTTTCATTGCTCTTTGCAGCAGTTATTAATGCACGATAACGATGCAGTCTGACAAGCCTGCTTGCAGCATATATTCTCTACCGGTCTCTGAAGGAAGCTCAAGATATCCATCAACAGGAAAAGCAAACTTTGGGTGGATAAAAAGCAGGCCTTCCATTTCCAGCTTCAGTGGCTGCTTAGTCCTCCATTTAGTAATATGATTTCCGTGGATTGTTCTGTGGTATCATGTCAAAAAAGCTCATACATTAGTATCAAGTTGATGGTCGTTGCATTTGATCATGTGTGGTCATCTACAACCAGATTCCACAGACAACTAAAAAAAATCCTGAGATAAAATTGTAAATGAAGGAGCTTTACCAGTGGGTTTGGACGATGACGATAACCAAGCATCATCCGTTTCTTATACTGCTCATATATATCATCATCAGCGGTAACTTCGCCAGGTTTTTGTGCACCAACACCTAAATTGTCCTTCTTCACTTCACCTGCCATCACTGGATCTGCACGTCCGCGCTTGTCACTGCCTAGTCCCTCACCTGCAAGCAGACCAGGTTTTCCAAAAGGAAAAACAAATGAATAAAAAGAACATAAAAGTAAAAGCTCTATCCTGCTCCCGTGTATATTTACATGTTAAACTGTTGCTACAATAAGTGTCTACTGATGGCAGAAGCTCTGATGATTTCCATCATACCACAAAAAAAAAGTGAATTATGTTGGTTCTCAATGAAAGCCTACCATGTGAAAAACAAAATAAACCATGAACTATAGCAGATCATTACAATTTGTTCATGGGCTATAATTTCCTCAACACAAATCTAAGATCAAGGTTCGTCAAGAGAAGAGATAGCTAAAGTAGAATCCATTGGTTGAAGTGATAATGGCACTAGAGATAACTCCAAGAATAGTTGGACAAATGGCAGAAGTGAGTTAAAATGTCTCACCATAAGTGGAAAAATAGTATCAACTACAGGTTCAACCATACCTTCTTTCCAACCCATTTTAGATAGAAGCCTATGCCCAATGTTGTCAGCCTGGATTCTTGCTTTTTCTGCAGCCTCTCTAGCACCTTTCTGTGCAGATGCATCATTACAAGAAAACAGAAACTTCTCCAACTCTTCTGGTGGAATGAAATCACCCATGTGATGACCTTTTTTAGGGGGAGCTACAATACCACAAAAGGGAAAAACGTTAGAACTACCTTGGAACTCAAGGTAACATCGTTTTTATTTTTACCACCACAGAAAAGCTACACGCATGAAATTGTTCATATTCAATATTCCACAGAATATTAGAACATAAACAAGGGAAACAGGAACTACTCTTAGCAAAAAGAGTATACTTTAAGCTGATTCAAGAATTTGCCTCTACATCCACTGGAAGGCGCTATCATATATCGAATAATAACAGAATTCAGAATAACAAACCTTGAAGAGAAGCAGGTGGTGGCATTTCATCTTTTGATTGCTTCGGTTGCCTTATTCTCTCCTCCTGTGCAGCCTTCTTCATGTAAAACTCCATCATTGCAATGGGATCTGCAGGTGAAGACCCACTGGACTCACCTGATACCAAGACATCTACAAGCTTACAAGGAAGAACACCGGAGACAAGTGCAATCATGAAGAATAAATAATGAATATGATCCACCCTTGGCAAACGATCATATATGTAGATAAGAGAAGAGGCAGTTTAAACAATCAACAAAAACCAAACATTGTCCTTGGAAAATCTTGTGGTTAGCAGAGAGAAAGGAGAAACAAGAGCCTTTGCATTATAAGTCACATTCCTATGGAGGCCATTGATTGTAATGACACTGTCTAAAGACAATAGAATGTCGTGTTCAGCATCACGTACATGCAGGTTTTTCATGATTTTCTACAAATATAAACGTGCAAATTTTCCTGAAAAATCTGTAAGCTATGTCAAAATAATAAGTGCTCCACCAATAAATTGATTCACAATAAAGGTTTCACTAAAATATGGTCCTATGATTGTTGCAAGGCATCACACTTCACAAGGAAGTGAATATTTATAAGCTTTTTTAGAGTGTCAAACCAACAAAGTAAAGAATGTTTATGTTCATCGGCTGCATGATCTCATAAAATCCATATGATAAAATCTAAAAAGTCAAATCAAGCAGTCGAAGAAGTAACCCCTAGCATGGCTACATTAGTTCAACTCAACCCATGGTAATCCCATGCAACCAAACCATTCAATCCAAGTTCAAGTCTGGACCAACCAATCTTTAAACTGTTGACTGAATGGATAGGGTTCTAGTCGAACATGATGCTCGACCAACACATCATGGAAAATATACCTTTTTTCTATACCTTTTTTCTAAAATTATACGAGTCACTTTTGACCATCCAAACAAAGATAACCCACCCTAAATCATATCTTATGGTCAGGTTCGTCCTGGGATCCTTGACCTTCCAGCAGGTTGAAGAGGTTTAAGAATAGACATATATAAACCCAACTGATGGACACCATTTATACTCGGCATCAAAACCTACTTAACAGGACAATACAAGCTAGATGAGGATACCATAACTGGAAGATCTTCCAGAAGAGCCAGATTCTTCATAAGATCCATACAAAGCTGAAGCAGGGGTTTGGTAATTAGGACGTTGTTGGATGTTGCTCCTTTCAGACCCACTTGCTACTCTAGAAGTTGAGGTGCTTCCATTGGCTTCCATAAGAAGTCGAGAATTATGTTAACATAAAAGCTTATATTTACCATTGAAAATATGGAAAATAAGGAGAAATTAGCACACAGATGGTACCGACCAGAATCTGATGCCTTAGAATCTTTCAATTGTGCAAGAGCCTTTTCCTCTTCAAAGAGCTGATACTCATAGTATTTATAATCTGAACAACTTGAATCAAACAAAAACCTGCAAAAATCCATGTTAAGCTCTTTGCACACTATCCTCATAGAGAAGTACACACTTAAAAATAAATAACAAACATCATATTGTTCCAATTGCATATCTAGTGGGGAAAAAAACCTAATAATGAACCGACGGTCAGTGTTCATTTCACATAGTATCTGGAAAAGAAGATAGCTGTATTCCACACAATGTCTTCTCTAAGTATTCAAATGGACAGTTTAATATTCGTGGTACTCCTTAATAATGGAAGAAAGGACTACCCAGCATAAAATAATGCAGTAACATGTTAACAGAAGCATCAAACTAATTATAGATCTTGTTAATGCAAACTACACTTGGAGGAGAACATTGGAAAACTGAGAGATTTCAGGAATTCATACTTGAAAGGTGTATCTCCAGGATTCCGTTGGCGTGTGATGTTCTCAAACTGCCTACCATTCTTTGCAACAAAACTTGCCAACTTATCTGCAACTTTCTTTACTGCTGGATCAGTTGGAGGAGATGGTGCTGCATGTCACTTAAATAACTGATTAATACCAAGAGCATGAACAAGGGAATGCAAATTACTGTTGTAGCAGCACTGCCACATTTTGAGTTCTTTCAACCAACATCCCTTCCATCAATGTCGATAGACACTTAAAAGACACAGGCTGCATTCATGAGACAAAGAAGTTTCAAGAATGTCTGGCACAAATCATGCTGACAGTTAATGGAGCTCAGTAAGCAAGACCTGGTGCCAATATCATATGTTAAAATGGAAAGCAATGATTACCAGGAGAATCCTATGTTAGTCAGGCACAAGAGTTGCTCAAATTTTCAGTGAAAACAACAAAACCTTTTTATTTATAGGAGTCAAAATCTAAAATGTAAGTCTGATAATGTTGGT